CCCCGACTTGGCTCAGTAGTGCCCCCAATCCAAACATAGAAGCATCTGTGTGAACAAGAAAACGTTTAGTTGGATTGGGAGCTGCCAAGACAGGGGCATTGAAAAGTGCATTTTTCAGATGTTGGAATGCCTGCTCACACTCCGGGGTCCAGGTCACTTGGCGGGGAAGGTTTTTACAGGTCAGGTCGGTGAGTTATTTGACCAGGGCAAGATAACAAACTTTCTATAATACCCGGCCGTCCCTAGAAACGCTAAAACTTGGGTCTTAGTCCTAGGGGTGGGCCAGTGTGCTACGGCCTCTACTTTGGCTGGTTCTGGCTTTTGCTTGCCACACCCCACTCTATGTCCCAGGAATTGCACCTCGGCCATCCCTATACTGCACTTGGCCGGTTTCAATGTCAAACCAGCCTCCCTAATCCTAATCTAGGACCGCTCCTATATGGGCCAAGTGCTCCTGCCACATATTGCTAAAAATGGCAATATCGTCCAGGTAGGCACAGGTATAGTCTTGGAACCCATCCAGGAGTCGGTCCACCATCCTCTGTAAAGTAGCTGGGGCGTTTTTCATCCCAAATGGCATGACCTTAAACTGGTACAAGCCAAATGGGGTAGCAAAGGCCGACTTAGCGACTTGAGATGCAAGCTGTCAAACACGTTAGAGTTGGGCGCACATATGGCGGTTACCTCCTCGGAGCGCTCCTGGTAGGGCTTCATCATGTTTACATGGAGCATGCGTCGCCCTCCAGTCCCTGTGCAGGGCCAATTTTATAGGTGGTGTCACATCTCTGTTCCACCACCCTATATGGTCCCTGTCAGGCGGCCTGTAACTTGTCATGTCGGACAGGTTCTAAAATCAACACTTTCTGCCCCGACCTGAAAGCTACGGTCCCTGGCGCCCCGATCATACCATGTGCGCTGGCGGGTCTGTGCCACCTGAAGGTTCTCTTTTACTGTCCTGGTCAATGCTTCCAGGCGGTCTCGGAATGCCAACACATATGGTATGATGGGAGTGCCGTCTGCGCTCCGGTCTCCCTCCCAATGCTCTCTAACAAGATCTAGGGGACCTCTTACTCTCCTCCCAAATAACAGTTCAAATGGGGAAAACCCTGTTGACTCCTGTGGCACCTCCCGGTAAGCGAATAGGAGGTGCGGCAGGAATCGCTCCCAGTCCTTGTGGGTCTCTGCGAAGGTTCGGAGCATTTGTTTCAATGTACCATTGAACCGTTCGCAGAGCCCATTAGTCTGGGGGTGCTAAGGGGCCCTGATAATAGGCTTAATGCCGCAGATCCTCCAGAGGTGTTGGGTGACTTCTGCGGTAAATTGGGTAACCTGATCCGAGATAATCTCCCTGGGTAACCCCATCTGGGAGAAGATCTGCATGAGGGCATCCGCGACCGTTTCTGCGTGGATGTTGGTCAGAGCCACCGCCTCTGGATATCTAGTGGCATAATCTACCACTGTTAAAATTTATCTTTTGCCTGACAGGCTAGCTTTCCTGAGAGGACCTATCAAATCTACAGCTATTCTGCTAAAGGGTTCCTCAATTATGGGTAGGGGGTGTAGTTTCGCATTTCTTCGGTCTCCCCTTTTTCCTACCCTCTGGCAGGTATCGCACGTACTGCAATACTTGCACACTTCCTGGCTGATCCCTGGCCAGAAGAAACTTTGGGTCAGTCTGTACCTAGTGCGACTGACCCCTAAATGTCCGGATAGTGGAATATCATGCGCTATCCGGAGTAACTCTGCTCGGTACCGCTGCAGCACCACTAACTGCCTCATCACTATCGGGTCTGACCCAGCTATCTGCTTGTCAGAATTCCTGTATAGAAGCTGCTTGTCCCAGAAAAATCTCTCTCCCTCCCCCCCGGGTGAGTCAGTTACAACCTTGTCCCTATAGACTTGCAGCGTAGGGTCAGTTATTACTTCAGCTGCGAATTCATTAGGGGGGTCCCAGGGGACACACTCTAAGGAAAGGGAAGGGTCTCTTACCTGAACCTCCGGGAGTGTGTTGTGGTCCTGGGTGTGGGCCTGCTGTCGGGTGACCACAGGGGGAGCTTCCCCTGTGGTGGGTGTCTGGGGCTCAAAAGCAGACGTGAGCCTCCCCAGATCATTCCCCAACAAAACTTCCACTGGTAACTGCGGCATCAACCCCACTTCCACGTTCCCTGACCCCGCTCCCCAATGCAAATGAACCCTTGCTGTAGGTAGCCGGTACACTGCTCCCCCGGCTACCCTGACGGCTACAGTTTTGTTGGTCTTGGCCTTATCCGCAACCAGGTGACTTTTTACCAGGGTTATGGTGGCTCCTGAGTCACGTAGTCCTTGGACCGCTTTACCCTCCAAATACACAGTCTGTCTATGGTGTTGACGATTGTCAGCATTGGCCTGTACTGGATCGGCTTCATGAAGTACTTCCCATTGCTCTATAGTCGTGATGGGGACTGCCTCGCCAAATGGGGTCGTGCTCTCATCCTGATAGTAGTGGGCAGCTGCTCTCGGTGGTGGTGGTGGTCCTGGTCGGATCCAGGTGGACCGGTCTCTGAGCTGTGGACATTCTCGCTTGTAATGCCCCCACTTCTGGCAGTGGTGGCATTGCACAGAGCTGGGCTGCCGGAATCTCGGTGGGGCAGTTGATGGTGGGATTGGTAGTTGTCGTGGTGGGGGTACTGTGTGGTTGGGGTAGCCCCCCCCTCCGACTGGCCTTACAGCGGTTTTGATTACTACTGGCTTGTGTTGCCTTCTCGCATCCATGTAATTATCGGCCTTTTTAGCTGCGTCTGTAATAGAAGTGGGGTTACGGTCTTTCACCCACTCCTGCAGGTCTGCGGGTATCCCGTCATAGAATTGTTCCAGTAGCAGCATCTGTAATAGGTCCTCCATGGACCGTGCCTAGTTCGCTTGCACCCATCCGAGGGCTGCCCGTTGTAATCGGCAAGCCCATTCGGCATGCAAATCTTTATCCGCCTTTTTCAATTCCCTGAAGCGCCTCCGATACGCTTCTGGGGTAATAGCATACCGGGCCAGAATGACTTCCTTTACCTGGCTGTAGTCTCTGATTTCCGTATCTGGTATGGTACGGTAGGCTTCAGCAGCTCTCCCTGTCAACCGTCCTGCCAAGATGGGGACCCAATCCTCCCTATTTATTTTATGCAGCATACACAGTCTCTCAAAGTCTTGGAGGAATGCGTCTATATCCTCTTCGGCCTCTACATACATTTTAAAGGCTTGGTAAGGAATTTTTGTCTTACCCTCTTGTACTGTAGATACCGCTGTGTTTGTCTCTGGTGTTTGTGGCCCTCTTTGCCTCTGTCATCGTCTTGGAGATGATTTCTATCGGTGGGTTCTCCCCATAAAATGACAGTCTAAATTGGAGCTGTCTTTGGAACTCTGCTTGCTCCGTTCCATCTGTTGCATCCCTCTGTTCGGTAACCAAATCCTCCTCTGTTCGGTACTCTGCCATTACTTCCAAAATGAAACACTGCAACACTGCTTTTGTCTTGTTGCTGGCTGGAATACCTCTTGCTTCCAGAAGATCTTTCAGTGTAGATCGTTTTAATGTGGAGTAATCAATCTCCATTAATCCTTGTTTCTTTGTGAGTCTGGATCCCAGCGCTGCCAACCAATGTAGCGGAGATCTAGTATTCCACAAGTTATCTGCGCTTAAGATCCCAGTGAGGCTCAGGAACAAGTAGTTATAAATCCATAAAGCAAGGTTTCCAGCAGGTAAAACAATAAAGCAATATCCCAACAGCAATCCCAATAACTGGACGACACACAGCATCAGGAGCAGAACTAAACTTTTATTTCCACAGTGGCCTTTTAAAGTATGCTCCCATGCAAGGGAGGGATTTCCATTAATTATTACAGTATCCAATCCTGTTCTGGTAACCTCCCACACATCTCCTCCCCTCAGCCTGACTCATAATCCCCTTATAAATCTAGGGGTACCCCTTTAAATGGCACATCCGCTGGTAGCCCTGATCTGGGTGAGCAACATATCCAAAAATCACCCAGATCGGACCAGGGGTTCGGGAAATTTGTGGAGGAAATGAAAAGACTGACCTCGCTGGAGGGAACAGCCGAATTGGGTTCCGTGCGATGGGGTCCTGCTGTCGGTCACAGTATAAGAGAACAAACTGCATGAAAGGCTAAGGCTACAGAGATCAGGGAGGGTTCGCATGAATCCCCTCGTTCGGTTGTTTCTTTCTACCGAACGAGGGGCCGTTCGGTAGTTTGGAAGTGAACGTATCGTGCGTATGGAGGTCTCAGCGGTGTTTGCCTAGCCGAGTGTCCGATTCGGGTTCCAGACACTCGGCGGCAAAACACTGCTGTTCGGGAGTTTTAAAATGGCCGCTGTCACGTGTTCGTTTCCCGAATCAGGCACATACGCATTAGTTAAATGTTGTCACTAGCATTACTAAACTGCATTACTTGTACTATTCTTTCGCCACTAACCTAGTTCACGCATGAACCAACCCTGTCTGCATGTTATACCTACATGTAAAATCGAAGCTCCAACGTTACACCACTTAAGCCTGATAAAATAATAAAAATTGTGCTTGTTAATCATATACCCCGCATGTTACGCGAGGGAAAAGCCAGAGGATTGCTTTCAGGGCACCTCAGGCCTGCCTGTATCTTTGACATGAACTGCAAAAATAAAGAATAAAAAAAAAAAAATAATAATAATAAATTAAATATGTTATATATATATATTTATATATATATATTAAATGTATAATATATTGTAAAATAGTTAAAGCATTTTATAATATATTATACATTGTAGCGGATGGCACTGGGCTGTCCTGCAAATGTCTGTGAAATAAATGCATTCGTGTGATCTGTTAGTTTCCTATGTGTTCTAAAGCCTTGTATTCTTGTGATTGTTCGGTAGTTTCGTTCCCTTAGTTTATTCGAATGAAACTACCGAACAACCAGACCTCCCCTGTGTGAAGTGTGTCCTCAATTACCCGTTGCAACATTGTTGCGAACGGGTAATTGAACAGTAAGTAGCCGTCCTTTGTTCTCGGGGGTGGCCGCCATTCGACAAACGAACACGTGGCGGCGGCCATTTTAAAACTCCCGAACAGCGGTGTTTTGCCGTCGAGTGTCTGGAACTAAAATCGGACACTCGAGTAGGCGAACACCGCTGAGACCTCCACAGCCCTGGTCCGTTCGGTTCCAAACTACCGAACGGCCCCTCGTTCGGTAGATAGAGAATACCGAACGAGGGGATTCAGGCGAACCCTCCCTAGCCTCTATAGCTAGAGGTTTTCGTGTATTTTATTCCCTTATGCCAGGACCGACCGCAGGGCCCATTCACATGGAACCGAATTCGGCTATCTCAGTTCGTGCGGTCGGTCATTTTATTCCCTCCATACTTTTCCCGAACCCCTGGTCTGATCTGGGTGGTTTTTGGATATGTTGTTCACCCAGATCAGGGCTACCAGGGGATGTAGGATTTAAAGAGGTACCCCTACGTTTAGGGGTACATCCAGAAACGGGGGGAATTGGTGTACTGGATAAGGGGATTATGATGCTGGCTGAGGGGAGGAGATGTGTGGGAGGTTACCAGGACAGGATTGGCTACTGTAATAATTACTGTAATCCCTCCCTTGCATGGGAGCATGCTTTATAAGGAGACTGTGATTAAAGGCTAGTCGGTTCTGCTCCTGAAACTGTGTGTCGTCCAGTTATTGGGATTGCTGTGGGGAGGTTGCCGTTATTTTACCTGCTGGAAACTTTGCCTATGGATTTATTATTTACTTGTTCCTGAGCCTCACTTGGATTATAAGCGGAGACAACCTGGGGAATATTGCATCTCCGCTACATACATATATAATGCATATATATGATTTCATGGTGTACTTTGAGGTATATACACATATCTCAAAATACACTTATAATGTAATCATATATATGCATTATTAGAGAAAATGTATTGATACTTACCGTCATTTTCTTTTCCTGGCTATTAATCATGACAGCATTTAACATATGGGTTTAACTCCTCCCTTTAACCCTCAAGACAGGAAACACAATCAATTAAACAATTAAGCATACCTTCCCCTGGTATAATAGGGACCCCAGTAGCATCCACACCTCAGTCCAGTAACAAGACAAATATACCAAGAGAGGGTGGGAAACCAAATGCTGCCATGAATAAGAGCCAGGAAAAGGAAATTACAGTAAGTATCAATAAATTTTCTCTATTCCTGGCTAATCATGGCAGCATTTAACATATGGGATTCCAAAAGCAATAACCACTCAGGGAGGGTAATTCATGCTACAAAAAATTGTTTAATATTAACTTAAGGCTTATAAGAGTTCAAAACCGATAGGCCGAACTCTGAATCAGAACGAGATGAGACATCCACTCTGTAGTGATGCACAAATGTTTTCAAAGATGACCAATTGGCAGCTTTACAGATGCTCTCTGCAGGGACTCCTGACTCTGCAGCCCATGAAGTAGCAATGGACCTTGTGGAATGTGCATTGATGTCTTCCTGTATGCTCTAGAAATAGAACTGTTCAGGAACGAAGGGTTGCGACAGAAGCAACTTCTCTTTTACGAGAACCCCAAGGAATCACAAACAATTGGGGAGACTTTCTCCAAGTAGCTGAGCGTGCAACATATGTGGAAAGACACCTCCTTAGGTCTAGTTATGACATCTTTCTTCCTTAGGAAAAGAAGGGTCTTGAAAATACCCCGTCAAGACAATCTCTTGATTCAGATGGAAGGATGGAACTCAGGTCTAGGCCGTAGCACAACTCTATCATCGAAGAAGGTAGTGAACGGTTCCTCAGACGACAGTGCTCTAATGTCCGACATTCTCCTAGCAGAGACTAAGGCCAGTAACAACAGGGTCTTTAGAGAAGGGACCTGTATCGGGACCTCAATAGGTTCAAAGAGATGTTCCGTTAAGGCCTGCAGAACCAGAGGCAAATTCCAAGGAGCTGAGAATTTTTTTGATAGGAGGTCTAATCCTTATGACAGCTTTGAAGAAGAGAATCATAATGGGACAATGGGATTAAACATCAAACGAATACCAGAAAGAGCTGAAAGAGCTGAGCAGTGTACTTTAAGAGTGTTAAGTTGAAGGCCCCTCTCCAGGCCTGCTTACAGGAAACCCAAAACTTGAGACACGGAAGGGGAACCTAAATCTTGAACTGTGGAATTACTCCATCATGCAAAGGCTTCCCATATCTTATGGTAGGTAGAGGAAATAGATGAATTCCTAGAACGTAACAGGGTTGAGATTACCTTGTCTGAAAGGCCATGGTCAACTAGAGATTGCCTCTCAATAGCCATGCATGGAGCCTGAACTTGTGAGGCTCCTGATGAAACACTGGACCCTGAATCAGCAGATCTTCCAAGGCCATTTTGCTTGAAAAAATAGATTCCCTAAATGTGCCCCCCATCCTGTCTGACTGGCGTCTGTCGTAATGACCACCCAATCTATTTCCATCAAGGGAAACCCTCGGGAGATGTTTTCCCATGACATCCACCAAAGGAGCTTCTGTTTTAGAACAAAAGGAATGCAGATCAATCTCCCCCAATCCCTTGAGCTGGTCCTGAAATTCTTCAGAAAAAATTGTTGAAGAGGGTGAAGGTTCCACCGTGCCCATCTGACAAGCTCTATTGTGGAGGAAAGAGTACCCAGAAGTCTCATAAACTCTGTCGCCGAGGCTGAAATTTTCAGTCTGAAGCTCCTTATACGAGTATGAGCTTTATGTCGTGCGCGAGGGATACAATCGCTGTGTCGGTATTAAAATTTGCTCCCAGGAATACCAGTTCTCTTGATGGATGCAAATTACTCTTTTCGTGATTGATGAGCCAACCGAAATGAGAGAGAGTGTCGAGGACTAGTTGTCTGTGTTGGAACATGGATTTTAAGTCCGGGCCACTACCAGGATGTCGTCCAGGTAGTGAAACACAGCTACACCTTCTTTTATGAACAGAGCAATGATGGTGACCAAAATCTTTGAGAAGGTCCTCGGGGCTGTACTTATCCCAAAGGGAAGAGCCTGAAATTGAAAGTGTTCCTTCTGGACACAAAACCTGAGAAACTTCTGGTGCTTGACCGTGATAGGGACATGAAAATATGCATCCCTGAGGTCTACCGAGATCAACCAATCTTTGTGATGAACAACAGGAACGATGGACCGAATGTATTCCATGCAAAATCTACTGACTCTCAGGTAAAGGTTGAGCTGGTGGAGGTCTAATATAGGTCTCCATTTTCCTTCGGGTTTCTTGACCAAAAACAGGGGAGAATAATATCCCTGGAATCTTTCTCTCATGGGTACAGGTACGATGGCTTCTTCTAGAAGAAAATTGTTGACATAAAGAGTTAAAATCTCTTGTTTTTGGCTGTTGGTAGGAAACCTTGTTCAAATAAACCTTGGTGGAGGAGGAAATTCTTCGAATTCCAGATGATACCCTCCGGTGATAATGGACCTTACTCAAGCATCTGGAATGATTTCCCAGGCCCTCTGAAAGAATGACAGACGTGCTCCCACTCGAGGAACCTGGAGTAAGCCACCTTCAGAATTGCTTGTTGGGGCGAAAGGAAGAGTTTTGCATCTTGCCCCTAAAAGATTTGACGTTCTGACCGCTCTGATCTGAGTCCATGCCGAAGGTCTCACCTCTTGATCTTTTACCTTTATTGGATTATGCAATTCCCTCCACCACTGCCTGCTTAATCCATTAAGCAATATCCTTGGCTGAAGAGGTAGAGGCTTGCAGTGACTTCTGGCGATCAGACTCTCCTGCAACCATGGCTAAGCATCTTCTGCAGAGCCTGCAGTTATCCATTGGCCTTGCACCACATCCACGGCAGGCTGACGGTTTTCCCTTCTCCTCGATGGTTTTCCCTTACCCTCCATGCACTCTTTTTAGTAATGTGAAAATTGAAAGAAAAAAATGGTGCTCTCGTTGTAGATCTCGTTGATTTTGCAGAAGGGGATAATGGATCCATACTGACTGTAGGGCTAAGAACATTTAAAAAAGGTAATGCATTCCCAGCCTAAATATTTGGATTAATATAATTGATAAAAGTATATTTCTTACCTGCAGAGCTTAAGAAACAGTCTAATAGAGCACTGTATCTTTAAAGGGAAAAGAAACAAGCGTTTTTATATTGTAATACCACCATTTCAAATTTCCCGCTCTGTACCTTTAAAGGAACGCACATGCGCTCATTGGTCGCGAGATCGCGAAACCGCATTTTGGAAAAGGGCAAAAATCACTCTGATTCCAGTCGTGCGCATTGCGCATGCGCGGGCGTCTTACTGTCATGCCAATCATCTGATCGAGGTCTGGAGTTCCCATTCCGGATACCAGTGGGTTCCAACAGCCTGTGGAGCTAACCACCAAGGCTCCCAGGGGTTCCCAACTCCTCAGAGATTGGGCTACATGTGCCTGGGCTTCCTGAGGAGGGAGGCTGACCTCCACAGGGACAAGACCATATCAGACATGGTCAGGTGACCAAAAAAATAAAATAAGTAACTGTCCTAGGGCTAGGAGGACAGGAAAAGACTGAGGTGTGGATGCTACTGGGGTCCCTATTATACCAGGGGAAGGTATGCTTAATTGTTTAATTGATTGTGTGTCTGTGTCTCTTTTTCATCTTTTCCATCCCCTCTGGGTCTCTTTCATCCACAGCCCCTCTGTGAACTTTCTCCTTTCCTTCATAGTGTTCTTTGGGGGAAGCCACTGCGTTTCTCTAAGCTTTTGTCAGTTTTTTTGTTTTTACTATACACACTCTTTATTCATTATACACACACTGCATCCCTACAAAAACACACACTCTGAATTCACTATACACAAACACACACTCTGCAGTCACACTCTGCCTTTACCATACACACTCTAATTTAACCATATGAACTGCATCTAATATACACAAACACACTCTGCATTCATGAGAAACATTACATCCACTACACAAAATACACTCTGCATGCACTACTCACACTGCATTTAATACACAAAAATACAAGATCTGCTAAACAAACACTCTGCATTCACTAGACACACACTACATCCACTATACAAACAAACACTGCATGCACTAGACACACTGCATCTAATGCACACAAACACTACATCAACTACATAAACACACTCTGCATTTACTAGACACATTGTATCTAATACACACAAACACTACATCCACTATTAAAACAAATACTCTGTATCTAATATAGACTACGTACATTACACAAATGCACAATCTGCATCTACTATACTCAATGCATCAATTACACACTCACCACAT